CAAAGTCAAAACTTTTTAGTGCTGAAACCGTTCCGTTTGCTTCGTTTATATTTAAAAACGTGGTTATAGTGAGCCCCGGGCTCATACGGACAAGTGAATATGTCACTGCCGCGTTTTCACCTCCATCCGCGTCAGTAGCACTGACTGAGAAAATGGACATTCCTGCCTTGTTATTTTCAAGTACATAAAAGGTATACGGGCTTTCAGTGAAAAGAGGCCTGTTATCGTTAACATCTTGCACCTCTACCTGTATTACCTTCGTTGATGACAAAGTTGGGCTTCCTAAATCCTTAGCTGTTACTGTAATGGTATACATATGCGTTGTTTCCTTATCCAGGTAATCTTTGGTAACCAAAGAGTATGACTGACCGTCAGGGGAGGGCTTCAAATCAAAAGGTAAATGAAGGGGCACGCTGCAAACCACCTGTCCGTTCACACCTGAGTCAAGATCCGTCACACCCATTAATGCCACCACGGTTCCAGGGGGCGCATCTTCTGAAATGCGACTCGAAAAAGATGTGATTTCTATTTCTGGTGGGTTATCATTCACATCTTCCACTCTAATAATTACGCTGCAGAGTGTGGACAGAGCCACAACACCTTTGTCCGTAGCCAGTACTTTAATCTCGTAAACTTGGGTTTCCTCGTAGTCCAGGCGTCCTTTCACAACTAGTTTTCCAGTTTTACTATCCAAATCAAACGTATCGGACGAGAGTCCTTTAAGTTTACTCTTTAAAGAATATTCAATCTCACCGTTCAGCCCTTCGTCTGAGTCAGATGCATTTACCGTCAGCAGAAATGTTCCAACGGGTGCGTTTTCCTTTATTGTTACTGTGTACTTTTGTTTTTCACACACTGGTGGGTTGTCATTTACATCTGATACAATTACCGTGACATTAATCGTTCCAGATTTTGATGGTTTTCCTCCATCTGTAGCTGTTAATAGTAACCAATGCTGAGCTGTATGTTCTCTATCCAAAGGTCTTTGTAATACTAGGAACGGAACTTTCCCGTCATCCCCAAATTCCTCTGTTTCCAAACGAAAATACTGGTACGGATTTAGCTTATATGAATGTAATGAATTCAAACCCACATCTAAATCGTGTGCTCCTTCCAGCTGAAATCGAGACCCCACTAAGGCAGACTCCAGCACCTCCAGTGTGTAATTTTCTTCAGGAAATTTCGGCGAATTGTCATTTACATCGAGGATTTCAACTACGACCTGGTGCATTTCGAGTGGATTTTCTACAACTGTTTTTAAATTCGTGACACATGGGGCAGTTTTTGCACACAGCTCCTCTCTGTCTAATCTCTGGTTCACTAACAAAACTCCATCCCTTGGATTTACCTCGAACAGATCTCGCTTTGTTCCTTGCACAACTCGAAGATTCCTATCAGCCAGTCTCCCAAGATCCAGTCCGAGGTCTTTGGCTACATTTCCAACCGCTGTCCCTGGTTTTAATTCTTCCTGAATGGAGTACCTTATTTGAGCAGAGATTCCTTCTAATTTGGTCAGAATCAGCAGCGCCAGACAAAAGGAAAACCACACATCCTTCCATCGTGCTTTCACGTCCGTGATCTCCATTGTTTGACAAAAGCTTTTTAATTGGCGGTGGAAAAAATCCTTAAACTAGCCTATTTGGGAACTTTTAATTCCCTCGAATGAAAAATAAAGTATAAATGTCTGCGAAAGCCATAATTTTAGCAGCAGGGAGTCTGTTAGGTCGTTCTGTCAAACCGTCTCTTTGGTTGTTACTGAGTATACATATAGAAGAAAAGATGGCCATTCATACGCCATCAGTGTGGTGATATGTAGTGTGATAGCACCACCCGCTGTCACTGTAACGATGCTGCACTGACTATATAACCTATCCCTTTCAATTTAGCCCGAATATTGTTGCTCAAACATTAGCCCACATCAGCATTTTACACAATACTAAATAGAAATTATGAGCTGACACTTTGAATATTTCCTTTTTATTTTTAAAGTGTACAAGCACATTCTGAAGTACAAACTCGAGAGAGTCGAGAGAGGAAGTCTCGCCGCCCCAGTTCTTAGGAGTTGAAAGTTTTACTCCCAGTAAGTCCTGAATATAGCCTTGACAGATTTCACCCTCTTGCGTTTCAGCTGACCATCATGGAATAACCAATATTTTCTTGTTATCCCTACATTTAACTGCTCTCAATAAATAGTAAGTTGAACTGAGCTTTTCTTCTCATTTTAGATTCTTCTTCCCTTCTAGATTTCCGGCAAACTAAATCTTTTTTGGGAGGAAATCTCCATGCAAACAATAGGAAAACATTCTACAAGGATTGATATGTAATACAAAGTTTTAACTACTTTAGTATGTTGATGTTAAACCTGAACACATTCTCTCTTCTTACACTGCATGCGGCCTTCCAGCACACACCCACAGTCTTTAGTCTATTTCAGATGTGAGCAGTGACATCGCATGGAATCAACCTGCAAGTACAGCTAGGAGTCCATTCACGTGGAACACATTGTTCTTATCTGAAAATAACAGCAGGCTTGCCTCTCTACCGCAGTGCATATAGAAATGCGTGGGGAATTGTAAGAGAAAGAAGAACACAACAATCCTCCTTGCAACAATTAGAAAAGCAAGTGACCATATAGCCTCAGATAGTCGCACCCCTCCCACTTGGTACCCACGTATTGGTTTTGGATTTACGCTAAATATATACGTGCGCGTGCACGAGTGTTGCAGCATTCTGCATCACTTCCTCCCTTTTCAACCTCGATCACCCTCTCTTTGCTGCAGCAGTGATGCAGAGTGTTACAAAGCACATATTTTCTCTCTTTTATTATAAACCCCTGCTAAACGAAGGTTGCAGTTATATTTTCACAGCCAAGCCTGGAAGCTGTGCATGCTTAAGTTGAGGGAGTGGTGCAGTCGTGCGGATATTACATTACAGGCACCTTCACAACTCCAGTGAGCAGAGCAGGTCGCCATGGCAACGCAGCTCTTTTAGGTGGGTCTCTGTCCGTGGTGCTGACAGCAAGCAGGCGCCCTCGCGAGAAGGAGAGGGGGAGGGGTGCGGAAGCTGTGAATTCTGCGGACAATATAAACTGCATCCATGTACTATATATATATATATATATATATATATATATATATATATATTTGAAGAGAGAGAGAGAGAGAGAGAGAGAGAGCAACTGAGATACCAGGCATAAATAAAAAAAACCCACTGATGTGTGGTGTGCATGTGTTAACCTACTAGTGCCAGCTGGTTGTTGTTCTAGCGCTTTTGTTACACACTGGTGCATTGCTGTGTCATGCATCACTGTGCTAGTCTGTTAGTAGAGCAGAGCAGCGGACAACAGAAACCATATTAATGAAGAAAGAGGCGGAGAAATGTTTCTTTTCTCATCCTGTTTCCTACTTCAATTGGCTCCAACACAGTTTAATCATAACTAGAGTCAATTTAGAAGCCTTTGTTCTTGTTTTGCATATATAGACGCAGACATATATGGAGGTTTTTCTTGGTTATGCTAGAATGTGATTCTGAAGTTTAAGTGTGAATAGAAGATGCTAAAATAACTAGTGCTGTTGGCCTGAATACTATTATTACCTCCTCATGACCTCATCTCCCACGGGGAGATGAGGTCATGTCTGCACACAAAGAGTCTCAAAGAGAGACAGCCTTATGCTTTCAGCCAGCCACTGAATAAAATACAAATACACTCATTATCTTTAAAGCAGTGTTCATGATAAACAAAACATTTTGCATTGTAACAAAATGTTTTATATGCCCTTAATTTATTACACAGCTCGTGGCATTTATCACGATTCATAAGGCTTTGTTTAAAGATTCATATACTGAAGACTCATGATGTGATTGCTCTTTTATTATGATTGTTTGTTTGGCCATATAATAACACATCGTGCATATATAGGGCTCATAGAAGGCAGCGAAGTAGAGACACATAGCTGGAGCCATTCCCTTTGCCATCATGACAGAGGAACCCTCATAGATTTCCTGAAATACTTACCTGTCAAAATGTCCCTCTTGCTTTCACTTCATATGATATATTCTTCAAATATCTAAATTTTTTTGTTTGTTTGTTTGTTTTTATATAGATTAAATCAAGAAGAGCTGGTTAGTTTAGTACAAAAATCAAAAAGCAAAACAAAAAAGCGGAAGCGGGTGGATGGATGTTTTAAATATATATGACAATATAATTTGATAATTTGAATTTTAATCCATACTTACATTCTAGTGGTGGAAACTTCAGATCTTGAAGGAGAGCAGCTCTAGAAGGGAGATTTTTGTGGAAATGTTTGTATATGGTTTACTTTAGGAAGGTTTTTTTTCAGTTTTTGTTTGTCTTGTTGGTACTCGTATTCATGATATTTTTCTTCACACCATCCATATTAGGGATAAGAAAAACAAACAAATAAAAAAGTCTTAGCAGCCTACAGAAACAGGAACAGCACTGTGTGCAAACCTTACCATGCTTTTATAGTTTTTGTGGAAACTGAACTGCAAGAAAACGAGACAGTGAAAGAATGACTGCAAAACTTATCTGTAGAATATCCTCCCACATTGTCTTGTGAAAATATGGGTTTTTGTTTCTAAACCTGTCTTAATACGCCACAGATTTTTCTTTTTAAAGAAGTAAAAAAGCAACAAATATATAATTACTTTAATAGAATGGTAATATAAAATGTGAAAGAGCAAATATCTTAATAAGGTAAATAAATCTGAAATTAATACAGTCAATTCAATAAGTATTAATACATTAATACAAGCAGGTTCTACTGTAGAGAAACTTGACTGAGTTGGTTGACAAGTTTACAAAGATGGGACAGGAACTTGAACTTTGGCATTTTAATGCATTTTATTATAATAGACGAGTGTGTCTCTCTCACTCTCGATACTATCCATTTAGATGGTTAGACAAGTATTGCTTAAAATGTATTACATTTGAAACAATTATTAAATAATCCAGCTATCTAAAATGAGTACTAAATGCCTTTTAGTTTATTCTGTTTAGTATTTAATGAATCTTACAGACCAAACCACAGATCACACATTACACAAATTACCATATATTGCACCATAAAAGTACCACTGTACAAAGGCCCTTACTGCATATGTTTTTAAGATATTTGAGCTTCTTAAAAGTAATGCTTTATGAGCTGTGCTAAACATACTAGTTGGGGTCATAAATCTTATGGCACAGGAGTTCCACTTTTTTCACATTAAAAGTTGCAAAAGCACTGGTATTGAAAATGAAAGGCATATTCAAAGATACATATAAATGAGATACTGTATATATGAATTATATCTGTATCCTAGATAAGGTGCTGCATATGCATATCCATATACATACAGTTAGTCAGTGATAAACATTAGAACAGCTTTCATTGAGTGAAATCAACCATAATAACATTGTTTCTGAAGTGTAAGGATTAAACGAACATGTTTGGTTCTTCGGTTTTAAACACTGCAGAAGACATCAAAATGAAGGAACAGCCAGAACTTGGATCTAGACATTGACAGGTGACTGTACATGTTCATGTTTGTGGTGCATATACTGTACAGAGTGCTAAAGGCTCACTGTATTCACTTGTGTTGCATTTAAAATCCAAGGCTCATTCTAGAGGAGCACATAAAATAAATAATAAGCGACATTGCACATTTTAATTTAGGCTTTGATTAAATCATTTTCTGAGTCCAAAGCAATGTCATTGTGCTGTTTTATAGATTTTGTTTGACATCTTCTAAACCTCTTAGGACATCATGATTAAAAGGTTATCGTTATACTGATTTACTCCCATTATTGTCCCATTAAAGTCGCTCCATATTGTTTGGAAAAATCAAGTGAAACAGTGAGACTTAACTGCAAAAATGTTGCTTAATATAATAAAATAACAAAAGCTGTCAAAAGTACTTGAATTCTTCCATGCAAAAACAACTTAAAGGCATAATGGCTAAAGGCCTTGATCTTTTCTGTTCTGTACACTTATTGATCTTATCTCTCAGCACTCCAAGTCAGCGGTCCCCAACCCCCGGGCCTCGGACCGGTACCGGTCCGTGAGTCGTTTGGTACCAGGCCGCGAGAGTTGAGGCTCGGGTGTGAAATGTATCGTTTTCAGGGTTTTTATCGGTTTTCAGCGTTATTTTGTTATCGTTTTTATCGTTTACTCGGTTTTCCTTGGTCTTTTACGTGTGTTATGAATAAATTCTTTTTTTCGGTACCGGTACTAGTTTTATTTTGTTGTATTTATCCGCGACACCTTAAAGGCCGGTCCATGAAAATATTGTCGGGCATAAACCGGTCCGTGGCGCAAAAAAGGTTGGGGACCGCTGCTCTAAGTCATACAGTATCTTCAGGCCTAGTTCACATATAAAGCACAAAGTCAAGTACAAAACATAAAAGTACTCAAAGTTACCACATTTACAAAATACTGATTTTCTCTTATTTCATACATTAAAACTGTAGGTTGGTGCTTTTCTGATGTTTAGTTAATTGTGCTATTTCACCTTAGTTACCCTATTTATCATACAACAAAGCTGTAGTAGACCAAGACAAAGCAGAGCAGTTAAAAATATGATATCTTATGCGTTTCATTTTTTGAAGAGAGCGAGAGAGAGTGTGTGTATTTTCAAGGCATTTCAACATTTCAATGTCCACCTTTTTACTCTTTGATGTGGCTTCTTTTAATATCCACTGGCACAGTTTTTCAGATAGTCCATTTCATTGCATCTCCTCTTGAAATTTTCTTTTTAACATATGACAGTTGAAGTGTGGTTGAAACCATGCTGTCTTATCATGCATACTGAATGGACAGGGATGCATTGTTGACTGGCTTTTCATGGGTTCAAAGATAAAGCTCTGGGCCATGTTTTTACAGACTCAGCAGGACAGACCTGGAGGGGGGTGTATGGTTAGAGGTTTCTTCTTTCCTCTGTGAAGCCATTCTTGTCAGTGTTAATCCTGTACGCTGCAGGTGGATGGGGGTCTTATGTGGAACTGCTGCTGCTGGTTGTGGATGCCTGCCAACAAGATGAAAATTAGACAAATTTCAAAAAAAGAACAAGAGCACTTGGGACTGGGCAAACTGACACATCTCATGCAGCCGACGTCTGTCGCTTATACAGGGCTTCAAGCAGAGGACAGACTGGGTTGAGGGATTGGGCGGATCCTTGAACATGTAGTGGGGAGGAGGCAGATCTATGAATACCATGCTGCAAAATTATGTGAAGGAGAGTGGTTGCTAGGTAACTGGGTGACCGGTTTCTCTTTACGCGTCTCCTGCACAAAGATTTAGGTCACAATTCAGTCTACAACAGACATTGTGTCATTCATGTTCAAACGTGTCATTCTGTGAAGTCAGAAACATTTAGTAGAATCACCGGTTTAACAGCACAGCCCAATTTCACTTACAAACATTCAAAAACAGGAAATAGTCCTAATATATAAGTGATGGATCATTAGGGGATGAACAGACATGCACACACACCATTCTTTTTGAGAACATAGTGATTCAATTAAAGGCATTTTTTTCTTGGCATATATTTCAGTTTTTCTCAGTTGCTTAGGCTCAGTTCCTGAATTAGAGTTAATGCTGTCAAAACAATATACAGAATCATTCACAGCACTGTGTTGCTCATCCACAGCATAAGGAAAATTTTTCATTATTCTTTAAATTTGTAAATCTTTCAGCAGGTCTAGACAATTTGAATGCTCATGGGTTGTATTTGTCTTTGTCATCAATATAAATTATTCTTTTTCTCCATGGAATAGTTTTTAATCTTAAACTCTATTATAGTATATGTTACAAGTATGAAACCTTAAACTTAAAATTAAAAAAAAAAAACGGAGGTGAGCTGTCAGAAAAATATGTGAAGTATGAAAACCTGGGGCCAGAGGTTTTTTTGTTTTTTCCCCCCATTTAGTATAGTTTATATTGTGACAATTGCAGGAAAAACATAGAGAAGCATAGGAAAAACCCTCACACTACATGGAAATGTAAGTGGTTCATTACAAACACAGAATTTTCACTTTGATACAAAGTGAAAAGAATTGGAGGAAAAGACTAGAAGTGAGGAAATTCGAAATAACAATCACTGTCTTCAGTCAAAATATCCCTGGTTCACACTTTTCATGTTGATATCAGAGGTATTTTTGCTAGCTCGTGAAGTTAATTTTCAGTTTTGAGTGAGTTACAGCCTCTTCATGGTAGGGTTTGTTTGTTTTTTGTTTGCTTGTTTGCTGCATGCATGTGCTGCTCTTGGTAATTAATCTTCAATGCAGAGAGTGTTGAAAATGTTTTGAGAAATCTACCAAAGCAACTGAGAAAACCTGTAACAGCAAAGGCCAGAACCTAAGCCAGCAAATGACAACAGTGTTGACTGAAGTGAAGGGTTTTTTTGTTTGTTTGTTTTGTTTTGCTTTGCTTTGGTTTCTTTTGTTTTGTTTAGTTTCTCAACATGATTGTCACTTTGTTCACCAAAAGCAATGACTATGACAGGAATACTAATTTAATACTACTTAATTTGGATGACTGTAATCGCTGAAATGTAAGCAAGGCTGTAAGCCATTACGATTATTTTTGTTTAATCTTTTTTATTGTCTGAAGTCAATAAAGGTCATGATAGTAATGTTTTATGCACCAAAATAATATAAAAGTATTAAGGGAGAAAACATAGTACTCAAATATATTAGCATGCTGTTAATCACTGTGCTGGTTAGACTGTATAAGAAGCTTTCATTAGGCCTAATGGATGAGACTGTAAGCATTAAAGCTGACACAAAAGTGGCAAAATGCATGTAATGTTAAGTAAGTCAAGTGATCAAAAAAAAAAAAAAAACATCTCCTCCTCAAAGAAAATGAAATACAAGACACTGAATAATACTAACATCCACCGAGAACAAAACAAACAGAAAAACAATTGAAACAATAGTTCTGTAATAATTAATAGAAAAGTTATCCAGGGTGGGGGAGTGAGACTTCTGCATACCTCCAACTGCAGAGCGGACTTCCTTCATTTAGGGTACTTTAGAGTGGGAAGAAAAAAAAAGCAATTCAGTGGTTAGGTCAATACAAGCACAGAAGGATTCTTTGTGTATGTGTGTATGAATCCAGTGATCACAGAGTTGGCACTATAAACTGAATGTTATGACTTATAAATAGCACAGAATAAGCGTGGTTAGTGTGAACCTTAGAAGGGAATACTGTTACAATGTGTGCTACAGAAGTAGGTCACAACACAGTTTTACATTTAGAGTACCATACTTACCAAGAAAGAAAGACAGACAGATATGACATAGAATAATGGCAAAATGGTATCATATTTAAGTTGTTTATTCTAACCAATAAATTAAGAGTTTTCTGTTTCTTCTCTCAAAACCTGTTCATCTCAACTACTGGAGATGAACTGCTTGCCCTAAGGTCATAGTTTCCTGCAAACATAGTGCAGACTTAAGTTTGAAGTTGTTCTGATGACCAGCAATCTCATATTCTGTATCTTCTTTATGTTGAAAGGTCATGTCATCAACAGCAAAAAACAAACAAACAAAACAAAATAGTAAGGACAATATAACTCTTTCAAAACCTGCAAAGAAAGTCACACTCCTATCTGATCTCAAAATGCATTTCTCCTGTTTGTTTTAAAATAAATCTTATTTGACTCGTGTACCTTTGCTCATGTGCCAGTTAACATAAAACTAAACACATTGACACCAGAGCAAAAACATATTTGGGTTTCACACATGTGAAACATTATTGTTGGCATTTTTTACTCTGTAGTCATTTTCTAAAGGTTGTAATGTCTCTCATGCAATGAGAAAAACATTTCCATTGCAGATATTGCAAGTATGTACCAGCGATTAAAGGTTTACATTTTTTTTTCACTTTGGAGTTTGTTAAACAAGAAATTGTAATAAGTAGTAGGTATCCTTTTTTAAAAAGAGTTTGTTAAAAAATGAAAAAACATTAAGGACCTATACCTGCAGAGTAGAAGCTGCTGAGTCACTAGTGTCTGTCAGCCCTGTCCCTCTCGGTATGCTGGACACAATGTACCTGGAGCCCTTTGGCAGAGG